GCTCAATCCAACCATGCACCAGTTGCTCGCTCTTAAGGCATCGCGTTCTGTTCGATCGACTGTCAAATTTTCATTCCAAAAGTCAAATAGCACGCTCAACAACAACAACAACATAAACATATCGTCTTACCTCCGATCCTCCCTGGAGTGCCCGAGATCCGTGGTACGACGAGTGAAAGCCGGGGTGCAATAGCACCAAGTACACGGGGAGGGAAGGGGGTCAGTTCCAGGAAGAATATTTCCACGTAATACAACAACACAAACAGAAACACCTGCAACGAACACGACGAGCGGGGGGAATAGGCTCAATCCAACCATGCACCAGTTGCTCGCTCTTAAGGCATCGCGTTCTGTTCGATCGACTGTCAAATTTTCATTCCAAGAGTCAAATAGCATCCAGAAACAGACACCGAACAACTCACAAGTACAGACTAACTTACCCCCGCGCCTTATTTTTGTCTGTGAAGGTACCGCCTAGCTTTTGGTTCAGGCTGGTGGATCCCCGACTGAAAACTAGGCCGCGGAGAAACCCGAACGATAAGATGGCCTCGTGCAGCTCCCGCGAAGATAAATGCGGGTCGCCTGTCCGCCATACGTATGTCTCCCATGTCACGGTTTGGAGGGCGCCATCACCCGCCAAGACCAGCCCCGCCGGCACCAACCAGGCGTGTTCGTCGTTTGCGACCCTCCCGTTCTTCTGGCGAGGCAGTCTAGCTCTCCTCGGTGGGTGGGTTGAGCAGACCTTTGCCGTACTTCGCCGCCGAATCAAACAGACCCTCGCCGGACATCACTAGTCGCAGCGGACCAGCTGTCCAATCATGTTCATTGATCTTCGCCCGGACGGCGTCGCACAGCTGCACGCCTACGCCCATCTCGCTCCCCCATGCATCGACCATTCGGACCGCTGCTGCCTTGTCGGACCACTGATACACGTTGAAGTTGTTGCAGCGTCCCTTGAACCTCCTCGTGATGTCCAACCGTTCCATACCGCCATTTCGTAGGGCGATTTCTTCAAACTTGCTGCGTTGACCATAGACGAACGAGGAATCAGCCATGCTCACCTCCACTGCCTTGAACAAAACCTCCTGATGAGGTTCTAGGAGTGGTTCGGAACCGGCCTTTCACACAAAAAGAGGACGAGAGGGGCACCGGAACGCGAGGGAGGGGCACTAGTGGGTTGCCGAAGGGGCGGGAGGCCGGAAGCTTACAGAGTAGACGACAGCGGTCACACCGTCTAACCTGACGACGGTGAGTGTGTGATGACTTCAAACTTATCACCGGCCCCTCGAAAGAGAAAAGGTGGCAGGTTGGCTGAACCAAACGACAGACGATCAATCACAAAAGTACTTGCACGACCAATCATTCATTAGACTAACTATTCCCCGCCCCGCTCGCGACCACCGGGCGCCTCGCACCGTCGGCACCGCCACCATCGCCTTCGTTGGTGAGATCGATGATGTCTGGGCGGCTCGAACCGCCGCCGCCGCCGCCGCCGCCGCCGTTGCCGCCCAACGACAAGAGGCTGTTCCTGGTCGCGGCCTCGATGTCAGCAATCTGCAATCTGCAAGGGAACGGAATATGCCACGCTTAACCCGATATCGCTGTGGTTTACCAGCATTGCTAAACAGATGATCTAGGCACGGTAGTCACTCTTCAACGTGATGCGCAATATTTGGGTGATGTCAGTGAGCACGACACCGATATCAAAGGGAAGAGGAACCTAATCATACCGATCAATTTCCTCCTTTGTACATCGAAGCCTGGACTGGGGGGTGCAGTGCGGGCCCACTTGCTCGGTTGGTCGTCTCCCCCTCGGGCTTTCCCCTTCCCCCGCGATCTGGGGGGCGTCGACGCATCGTCATTCCCTTCATCACCGGCCTGCACGTTCAGTATAAGAGTGGAAGGCTGGATGGTTCTTCGGTCTGGACAATTCTCGCATGCAGTCAGTCAACGTCGTCGTCAACACCGTGTTTTACAGCAGTATTTAAGAAAAGGTACCATTTTCGTTTGATAGCACCAAACGGAAAGCGAAGATCGGATGAGCAGAGTGATGGTATGGGGGCGAGGAGGTGTGCATGACAGATTGATACAAAAGTGCAAACCTACGCGAGGCTTGTTTGGTGTTCGTGAGGGACAATATACAATCCTCGCGAATTTGCAGGTGTATAGTGGTACCGTACTGAAAAATAAAAGGAAGGAAAGCAAGCATCGACAGCAGTATATCTGCTTTCGTCTGTTGTGTAGCCAACACTGGCCACTAACGTTACACTCTGAGTCCGCGTGAAATAGACGCCAATCACAACTAGCGACACCCAACGCCAACCTCCTGCCGACCAAATCCGACCCCATTGAGGCCCGTAACCTAGCCACTTTCCTCGTACCTTCAACACGTCCCCGACGAAGAGTGACGACGACGGAGCCGACAGATACCTCCTCGTTCCTTCGGCGGCGACAGGTCCCCCCGATACGTCGCTGCTGTCCCATTGATTCCACTCATGAAACGTGTTGCCGGCGCTTGGTGATGTTTGGGTGCCCTCGGCACGTGCATGTTCGCCGACGTCGGGAACGCCAAACGGTTGCTGAGGGGCTCGGGCAGGAGCAGGGGCAGGGGCAGCCAGGACGCACGCGAGGATGTAGTGTCCACCAAGTGCTCTGTTGTAACTGCAACCGTCGGGAAACACTGGTGTGGGTACTAATGTGGCAAAGGGGGACAACATTAATGCTCACTTCTCTCTCGTGGGAGTGCTGCTGTACACGCTAGCAGGCTGTGTCATATAGCCTCCTCCTCCTCCTCCAAATGCAAACGCACCTCGAAGAACGTGTTCAGTGTAGGCGTACCCTTTGCGGCCTTCTTCTGAGCCGCCCGCTTTCTTGATTCCCTGGTCTTTCTGCGACATTTGTCAAACAAAGACCACGCGAAGAATGAAGACGTAATGTCAGAAAGATGCGTACGATGGTTGGTGTTTCAATTCCCAGGTCGATTTGACAACGACCTGGAACGTCAGCCTCGGTTGATCACCCGCATTCACGCCAAGACTCGGACGACGCTGGACTATTCCCAAGTCTGGGCCTTGGAGCTGACGTTCAAAGCATGTGTCACACATCTGAGCCCGGCCTGGCCTTTTTTGGGTGCGGACACGTTGCAAGCAAACGCCGCCCCAATTCTCGCATACGCGGCCGTACGAGTAAGGGGAAGCGACCGTATTTTCAAATACTTTCAAGTTGACCATGCTGGATTTTCAATCTGCGGGAGAATTTTTTGAATCGCAGTCTAGTCTAGACTATACAGCAGTGGCAGTAGTCTCGATGGATGTCGCACGCATCCAAATACCACATCCGTATATCAACGAGAGGAAGGTGCGCTCTTCCGTCACGGGTCGTTCGGAGGAGAGAATACTTGTACACGCGGTCACACACACGTGGGAAGCTCTCTTCTCGTGTCCACCGAGCGACGCGTCAATGTCTCCCGCTGCCGCCGCTGTGCTTGTCTCGATTTGAATCATTGGGGAAGAACCTTACGGCTGGGCGATGCAACGTACGACAGTGTTGTTGATGAATTGATTTGGCAACGTAGAAGATACACGATAAGCGCCCACAAAATCGCCCCAACCATCGCCAACCTTACCCTGAGTTCCTCAGATGAGGATGCGTCCATGTGCGTTCGGCCATGTTCGTGGTGAGTGAGCCAACTCGCAATTTAAATCGAGAAGGGGGCACAGCAGCTGAGCAGGTTCCAAGATATAATTAAGGTAATCTTGCTTGGCCCTTCGCCCGAGGGCACAATCCCAGTCAGTCAGTGCATGGTGTTGGCGACATCGATCTGTCGTCGTGTGGGTGCGACTCGATCACGTGAAGAGGATTAGATGATCCATTGTTTGGTGTGATTGTGGCGTTACTGCTGCTGCTGCTTTTTCTGGTGCTGCTGTAGGCTGCAGAGCACATGAAATCCCGACTCTACTTGCTTGGGGCCAATCAACAAAAAAAGGACCCGTGAGAGCATAATGATGTATGTGTGGTCGCCGTCATCAAGTGTGTATGTAGTGGGAAATCTGTCTACGATGATGACTGATATCCCTTGGCTGCCGTGTGAGGTCATCAGTCAGTCATCCACGGCAAATTTGAAAATTTGAAAATTTTGAATCTCATGACCGTGGATGTGACGTAATCGGTCGACCACGGAATTTTGACCTTTCATGGAACGTTCCTTTGAAAAATTGGCCAATCAGAAAACTGCGGGCACCTTTTCAGTAGATTTGACAGCTTTCAGGTCCGTCTTTCCGTTGGCGGCATGGTGAAGGAGAAGAGTTAGAGAGGTAGTATTACATCTGCTGGCTTTAGTCCGCCATGTATGTACCAGTCATCCACAGATTTGACAAGTACGCAAGCGGTGTTGAGTCTTTAAATGCCACCACAAGATGGTACCTGTCTGTGTGCATCGTTGCAGAATCAGGAATGTTTCCGACTGCTAATCATGTGCTCGTGTCCATGACAAAACACTGACAACACTGACTGCAGATGGAGCCATCTAAAGATGTCACCAAACCAAACTACATGCTGTACCGCGCAGCATGCTTTTAACACTAGAAATACGCTGCGGGTCTGTGTTAATTCTTTGAAAAGGTTGTTGGGTCCACATGTTGAGTCGATTCGATGTATCAGAAACAGGAACTGAATCCATTCCAGTAAAAGCGGGGGGTCAGAACTGACGAGGCTTCTTGTATGCTTCGGCAACAAGATTCGTTGAAGAACGTGCTTCAACCTGCTGGGGGGAGGAGAGCCGAGCCTCCTCCTTCAACGCTGACTCGTAACAAAAAACAGAGTGAAAAGTGGCCCATCGGTGCCTCCAGCGAAGACTGGCGGCTGTTGATTCGTTAGCTCGTTAGCGCTGCCCACCCTACTCCGTCAAAGACATTACGAACGCAGGAAACAAAACGGGACACACCGACGCGCAGACACAAAACAAACAAAACAACAAATATGCACTTCCTCCAAGTACACAGCGTACTGTAAGCAAGACATGCAACAAAACCAACTACTAATAATAGCGAAAAACATGGGGGAAAGAGAGGGGTTCAGCAGCACAGACACCGACCCGCCACTCTGTTTCAGAAACAAGCTGGTGAATGGGTTAGCTCGTTAGCGCTGCCCACCCTACTCCGTCAACGACATAACGAACGCAGGAAACAAAACGGGACACACCGACGCGCAGACACAAAACAAACAAAACAACAAACAAATATGCACTTCCTCCAAGTATACAGCGTACTGTAAGCAAGACATGCAATAAAACCAACTACTAATAATAGCGAAAAACATGGGGGAAAGAGGGGTTCAGCAGCACAGACACCGACCCGCCACTCTGTTTCAGAAACAAGCTGGTGAATGGGTTAGCTCGTTAGCGCTGCCCACCCTACTCCGTCAACGACATAACGAACGCAGGAAACAAAACGGGACACACCGACGCGCAGACACAAAACAAACAAAACAACAAATATGCACTTCCTCCAAGTACACAGCGTACTGTAAGCAAGACATGCAACAAAACCAACTACTAATAATAGCGAAAAACATGGGGGAAAGAGAGGGGTTCAGCAGCACAGACACCGACCCGCCACTCTGTTTCAGAAACAAGCTGGTGAATGACAAAAACAGGGCATTTTCCCAACAATAAGTACTGTAGATACTAAGATAGAAAGGCTCTGACTGTTCGTTCAATTCAAGCACCGAAACGTGTCGCCACGCAAACCACGACCACACGCGAGACAAGAGAAAGCAACACCATCCAACGACCTTTTCGACGTTCGCTCGCACCACAGAACGCATGTCTTGATGTCGCAAAGCACGGAAATGAAATTGATTCCACCGGGGTGACTGCCACGTCTACGTGGCAGTAGGAGTACGCATCGTAACAATAATAATCGTTTTCTCCTTTCAAGTTCGCACTACCCCACCTTGAAGTGACCTTTGGCTCACCAAGCATCTTGATTGAACCAACGCTAGTTCACGTTTTCTCTCTGTACCGTATCGTCGCAGAACACTGCTGTACCCTCGCTGCCTCCCTGCCTTACATAACAGCAGCACTTGTAAGAAAAGCGTAGACAAGACAACCAAGACAAACACGTTTACCCCAAGCCAAAGACAGATACGTGTGTATGGTGTTACCTCAAGAGGTGGTCCCCAGTCCCCAAACAAACACTGTTCTCGTCATATCATGCCGTGACAGATCATGTCATGCCATACTGGCTTTCTAGTGCTGTATTTATGGTGCAGTGTTCTTGACAGATCATGTCACGACACATCATGTCATGTCATACTGAATCTGTACTATATCAAGTTTAGTGTACTGGACGGCAATTCTCTGGGGTCCACCCTGAGCATAAATCACACACACAGAGATGGCAACAGAAGAGCTACGGCCATCATCACATACTTCAAATCACCACACAAGCAATTGATCAACTCTGGTAGATTCCTCGCACCAATTTTGTTCATGTAGCTCGATCTCTTCACACCATCGATGGGGCGGACCTACCAACCCTAGCGTCTCCATCGGTCCCGTACGAAAGTCTCTACCAAGAAAGCATCAAGGACTTGCTCATGTTGTGGTGTACATCGTCATGACACGAAAGCCCTGTTGGTGATGACTGACTGAGTCATCGAGCGCCTAGGCCCCATTACCCCTGAACCAACCAGGCGTGCCATTACCGTAAGCGGTAAACGAACGGATCGCCATCAAACGCTAGCAGACTCCATTGTTTCCGGAGGTGCCGTCAACCCCGCTGCCTTGAGCGTCAGAGCGTTCTGTATCTCGACCAACGTCAAGCCTCTTGTCTCGACCATGTAGCGCTATCATCGTTCATTTATGGTTGGAGGGGAGGGAAGGGGGGGGCAACACAAAGGGACAAAAAAAGGGGCAACACATGACGGAGGTACGGTACAGTACAGTGAACAAAAAATGAGAGTGGACGAAGCAATCAAACGAGTCCTTATCTCCTATCTTACATCGAAAATCGGCCGCTACAGTACAAATATTGGTGTCTCTTTCTTGGCGCCAGTCGGTTACCGTGATCGGTGCTACAGCAGCAGCATCGATAATGAAACGCATACACGACCGACACAATCAAGGGAAGGGAGAACCGATCGATGCTACAGCAAGTTGACGAAGCACATACACGGCCGACACAATGAACGGAAGACAACGCTCCCCTCGCTAACCCTACGACGGAAAGGAAGGCACGAAAGATGGATGGATGGATGGATGGATGGATGCACGTATGTTGTTATCTCAGCGGCACCTCCGCCAGCGAGGAAGTTGGCTGCAACATGGATGACAATGCCGTCACAACCCGAAGCTTGTCAGTCAAACACCCATCCCGACACGATGCTTGAAAAGCACACCCTCGACGACAGCGATTGCGTCGGCTACAGCACCGAGGATAGACGATAACGCCGTCACGACAACACGATGATGCTTCTCTTGAAATGGGTCATGGCACTCACGTGGGCGAAGATGTTGGCCAAAATGGACACCACAAAGAAGCACGTGAACATGGCCGCGTAGCCTCCTATGTCTTGCTGCAAAGTTTAACAGCGACAAGAGGTCGAGGAATCGACCGAGCAAGTATACGATGTGAGAAGAATGGCGGACGCGCATGCCTACATTAGAGTTGAGGGATCCACAAGTGAGTACATGATGTGGGAATGGAATGGAAGCGCGTGCTCTCACACACCTTGCGGCGAACTATGAAAGCAAAAGAGAGTCGGTTATCAGCGTAGCCACCGAGGTCATGCTGCCAACAGCCCCCGCGAAGAAGGTACAAACTACATAGAAGCTTCGTACCGTGAATACTGGTATTGCGGACGCCGAGACGGGGCACAGCAAAATCAGGTGTACCGGCAGCCACCGACGCCGAGAGTTTCCTCTTTCCTCTTGGCGCCGTTCCTACCACTTGCAGGAGAGGTCCCAACTACAGCAGGCGCTACCACAGCTGGGCACCCCTACTCATGACCATCATCGTCGGTGTCCTTGCTGTGACGGTTGCGGCGGGGGACGCGGTCCTCGTTTCAGGACCGCTTTGCCGCAGTGTTTCCTTCGCGTTTTCGAGCCGCCTTGTCCTCGCGCTTCCGCTGGAAGCACGTCTCGTGGCTCTGAGTTACAATTCTTCCCTCATCCACAGGAGGACCGCCGTGACCAGCTTCTTGGTATTTCCTGCCCTCTTGAGGCCACCTTGAATGTATACCGATCGCGTTGCCTCCGATCTTCAGCCGTATTTACCGGATGGCCAATAAAATACAGGAGAGTCTCGTGGGGAAAATAACGTCAGTCTGGGGAGCCCGTGGACCAAAACGTGCTCGCGTGGTTCCCGCGGGGGGCGGGGGGGCGCCGCACGTGCTTTGGGGTTCCGGGGCATGCGCTTTCATCTCCGCATTTGAGGCGTACTGTAAGGGGTCAGCTGCTGCGAACGGTTCGTTCCCGCCGCCGCCCCCGTCGCCGTTGAGCCTGTCACCTGACATCCGGGGTCCGCACTTTGGGGACGTCCCCAAAGTGCGGACCACAGACGTCAGGCGATAGGTTTCAACGGCGGCGGGAACGAAGCTGTTCGCAACTGACCCCTTACAGCACGCCTCAAACAAGCAAATGGAAAAAAAAAAGCATGTGCGGCGCCGCCGCCTCCCCCTACCCCCNGAAGATCGGAGGCAACGCGATCGGTATACATTCAAGGTGGCCTCAAGAGGGCAGGAAATACCAAGAAGCTGGTCACGGCGGTCCTCCTGTGGATGAGGGAAGAATTGTAACTCAGAGCCACGAGACGTGCTTCCAGCGGAAGCGCGAGGACAAGGCGGCTCGAAAACGCGAAGGAAACAATGCGGCAAAGCGGTCCTGAAACGAGGACCGCGTCCCCTGCCGCAACCGTCACAGCAAGGACACCGACGATGATAGTCATGAGTAGGGGTGCCCAGCTGTAGTAGCGACCGCTGTAGTTGGGACCTCTCCTGCAAGTGGTAGGAACGGCGGCAAAAGGAAAGAGGAAACTCTCCGCGTCGGTGGCTGCCGGTACACCTGATTTTGCTGTGCCCCGTCTTGGCGTCCGTAATACCAGTATTTACGTCCGTAACCTATCAGGCTGCGAATCGCTCCCATAAGAAAGTACTTCTCACGAGAAGCCTCGGACTTCGTACCCGATGTACAACTGCAAGATGCAACGTACCAGACACAACGCGAGAGACACCAGACTGGGGGTAAAATAGGGTATGCTTGTATGTGCGGCATCTACAGTCTATAAGGTTTCGAGAGTACGGATGACCAAGCCTCTTGCCCAATGTGTTGTGGTGGCCACGTTTCTGGATCCAATACAGCAGCGCCATCATAGGAACCAGACTTGTTAGGTATACTCAGCACAAGATACGGATCTACGGAGATCTAGAGGTTCCATGTATCATGTAGGTATACTCAGTTCTAGATACGAAACTACGGAGATCTAGGAGATTGTGTATCAAGTAGGTATGTGTTGCAAGGGCGGACCCCCTTCTAGTATGCAGTAGGACTTGCTTGCCCTGCTGATCCCTTGTGAAAAGCAAGGTCTCGAGTCAACCTTTTCTCCACAGCCTTCGAAGCAAAGCACCCGCTACCCAGCAAGACTTGTTTTTCTTTACACTCACCACAAGAGGCAGCAAAATCACAACGATGGCCGAAGTGCCGAAGTGCGACATCCCCACGATTGAGATCGCCTGTGCTCGGTGGCAGGTCGGGAATACCTGTCATGTCATGGACATGTCATGACGTCACAAACATCAAAGAGTAGCAAGAGGTTTCGACGATGAGAAAACGACGCCCATATGTGTACTGCTGTCAGTGCGAAAATGTACAAGGACAGACAAAAGGAGGCACTGCACCAAAGATAGCAACAACAACAGCAGCAACAGCAGCAAGAGCAACAGCAACAACAACAACAACAACATCGACAACGAATAGAGAGCCTCACCTCTGATACCAAGACCCACACTAAAGCCCCCAGGCTGGTGCTGTAAGACGCCGTAAAGGCGTAGAGGCCAATCAAAGCCCACCATCGACCTTCATCTGCCATCCCCAAAAAGCCTCCGATCATCAGCATGAGCGAGCTCGCCATCAAACCTGCCAGCCCTGGTTGGTTTACACGATAGTTTTTGCGAGTGGAGTGTCCGAGATAGACGTGGGAAAAAAACGAGTGCAAGGCAGGGAGGGGGGGGGAAGCAAAGGGACATTAGCTTCGCTAAGAACAGCGGGTGCCGTACACAGAGCGCGTGGAAACGAGGACAGCGGGCGCATCAACCAGGCCAGGCCACATCCAAGATAGTACGATGGCTGTTAGAATACAAAAATAACAGAATGGCTAGGGCATCTACAGGTATCTGTATCACTGGCTGTAACAGCAGCTTCCCAATCAGGATGGGAGAGAGATACAAACAAAAAAAACAGGGTCAGGTGCCGCTGCCCACAAACATAACACACAAACCAACGAGCGAGGGTACCAGCGTCACGAGGCCCGTTGAAGACGTACTGCACGACTTAACCTCGTCAAACAGCAGGTAGGACATACAGCAAATGGGACGTGCTTACCGTAATGGAACAGCAGATATAGGACAAACTGTACCTACCCGTTACCTAACAGCAGAGAAGACCAATAGTATCTACAATAACCAAACAGCAGAGACGACACATGTATTGTACTTCCCGCAGTCTGACAGCAGACAGGACATACCTGCCATAATCTAACAGGAGATGGGACTATGAAGAATACCACGATGCTGTGCTTACCGTAATATAAGAGCGGCTTCCGCCCGATGGGATTGAGGGCGTACATGACCGCCACCGCCATTGCTAGCTGCAGGGCACCGAGGATGGCAAGGCCCCAGTCTACGGAGATCACGGCGATGTCCGCCAAAAACACCCCTTAACAAGAGGGGAGACGGGACGAGATGCGTAGGGGGTCATTGTAGGGCTTTGGTTTGCTGAGTACAGAGGAGGGAATATTGGCAGAAAAGGAAGCCAGCGCAAGGTCGGTTGGAGGGCAACAGCAGGGAAGGGAGGGCAGCAAGAGGTCAGCAACATCCCCTCACGCCGCAAAACCAAACACACACGCCATCGTCATCAATCGCAAAGACAGCAACACCAAAAACAGCAACAGCGCTTACTCACAAAGATGACAACACCAGCAACACCGATAGCAATAACAGTAACAACAACAAGCACACAACCGCAGCCAAAAAACGGAAACAACCGCACCAAATAGCAGGCCATCTACTGCCCCCACCTCCGTAGTACAAAATGGCTGCCATCCCAGAAGCTTGCTCGAACACCATCAGACCAGCGGTCAGCACCAACGCGGCGCGCATGCCGCGGGCCTTGGTGAGCGAGGGCAGGTTCTTCACCGACATGGCCACGGCTCCTCTTTTCTCCGAGTTGTCGAGGGGATCATACCCGGCGTCCCCTTCCTCGCCTCCGGTTGTGGGACTCCTGCCAGAGGGGGGGGGGGGGGGGGG